AAGGGAGGCCAAGAAGTAAGTGAGTGTGCATGAGAATAGAAGCAAATGGCACTCATACATATTTTACAGTTTCTATCTTTGTTCTCAAGAACTGCTTCTGTCTAGAAGTCATAGATTTGCCAAACTAAATAAAATATTTTTTTGAAAAATTCTTTGACTCATGTATTATTAGTGTTCATTTACTTGAGCATATTTGCGCAAAATAATTCCTAATAGGAAATACAACACATGGTGATACTGGCTGACATTCTGGAAAGCCTGTGAGTAATACTACCACTGAATTTTATTTTTTTAAGTAATGTAACTAGTGCAATTTTGTTTCTAAAAAGTAGCTGTAAATTGAATAGCGTGAATATTCTGATCATTCATTAAGCAGCAGTCTGTCTGTTAGTTTTTGTTTTGTTGTTCATCTTTTGTGGGTTTTGTTTTATTTTGTTTCAATTCTGCTTCCCTTTTTTGAGGTGACTTCATTTTCTATGCAGTTACTACAGACTTGGGGAAACCCAGGAATATACAAAGACACATTTTCCATCAAAACTGATCTGATCATGGCTTTTGATTATATCATGAATAGGCCAAAGGGCACAGAAAGGAACTGCAATTTTGGATTTCTTTGGACTTTTGAAAACTATGAACAGAGTTCTGAGTCAACAATAAAGGTTCTGACTGAGGTTCAAGAACTTTGCTGAATCAATGCTCAACACTGGCACCATTTCAGAATGGTGGAGTAATAAATACATTGGACTAGGATCCAGGACAGCTAGCGAGATGAACAAAGAGAAACCAAGAAAGCACAACAGAAAATGTAGAAGGGGGAGAAAGAGAGATGATTTTTAATTGCAGAGCAAGAAGCTATAGTGGTAGTTTCAGATGTGTTACGTAGCTGTCTACTGTTGGAGCACTCATTTGTACTGCAGGGAGATCCACATGCCAAGCCCTGTCAAGACGGAACTTGAGAGCTTTCTGCTGCAGAGCTTTCATCATCACTGGAGGTGGAAAAAACTATTCACCAACATAGGTGTTGCAATTGTACTTTTCTTCAGCAAGCATCACGGGACTGCACGGAAAATACAGGAATAGGGATCATCACCTCCTGTGCAGTGAGGAAGTAGCACTTCAGGACAGCAGAGTTTTGCCTCTCATCCTTCTCATAAGGCTTTGTGCAACTTCATGCCCAAATGTTACTTATTAAATCACTCACACAGTGACCTTTGTAACACCTGCCCAGTAGAAGACTGTTTTAGGAAACACACTTTTCTCCATGTGTAGCCCTCCCAGAAACAAATGCATGCAATTTCTGTTCTGTTTTTAACGGTGTTAAATATTGAGCATAAGCAGCTGCAGGAAGAGGTGTGCAGCCAACCAACAGAATTTCATCAAGCCTTTCCTGAGAAGGAGGACTCAGCCAAAAGAACTGTAGAATTCTTGGCTTGTAGAATTCCACATTAACTAATCAAAGATGAGCAAATATTTTTGCAGGGTGCTGATTCAGATACTGCTGAAGCTCATTAAAAAGATGGGTATTCAACACATAACTTAAGGGTAAATTTCTATTTACATCCATTTATTCTAGACCTTTCATATAAAAATAATTCTTGTGACAGCTGGCAAACTTAACATCTTGGTTGGGTGTTTTTTTTGTTGTTTTTTTTTTTTTTTTTTGTCACTATCTAATTAAGAAATAGTTAGGGGAACAAGACACATACCTCTGGTACATGTAACTAAACGGAAATTCTCTATTTGGCCCTCACAAATCAGTCAAATTGCCTAAGGAAGGTCCACAGCACAGAGTGTTTCACAGTCAAAAGAAAAAAAAACGTGGACTGACAGACAAAGATGCAAAGAAGCTGACACATTTTCCCTTTGCAGGTCACACATATGCATAGATTTTACATATGGGGTTACAAAAGTGTGAGAAAATAAGAGGAAGAATTTGCCTGAAGGAAGCGTACAGCTGAAGCAGCACTAGCCTCTCTTGATGAACTGACTATTCTCTTAAGGAAGGAGTTAGCATGTTCACTGACTCAGCTGTTCAGCTACTTCCAATTGACCTTTAGATGTCTGGATCTAAAACTTCAGGCATATAGGTAGGATTTCTAAAGACAGTGGTAAGGAATTGCTGAGGGGAATGAGGTCAAAGCAGTGTTGGAGGAACATCAGAAGAAAGAAATCCCTCATTGATCACAGTTATATAAGGAAATGTGAAGTTCCATGTCACTCAAAGGTTGAGGAAAGCTGGAGAGAAGAATCTAGGAAATAATCTGAGGAACTCATTTTTTTCACTCAAGCACTTTCCTACTTTTGTTATGACATAGCAAAACAGATAAGGAAGCCTTCACTAATGAAATTAGCTAAATTTAAACCTTAAGCAGTACCTGCAGAATGATTCAAAATAATCTAACATGCCAGTTTGTCACATCATTTGGGCAGGGACTTCAGTACCACACATCACTGTTAGAAGTCAGCTGCAGGATATTAGCTTCTAGACTGCATTTGTACATGTCATACAGTGGGCTGACACTTCTCAGGATCTTTATCACCAACAACAAGTGATAAAATCCATGACCAAAAAAAACCCCCTAAACATTTATTTAGCCAGGAACTGAAAACTGTGCTTGTAATACTCACATGTATTGGCTTGGGAATTACTCTTTTCCATCAGAGACAGTACGCATTGAAAATTCAGGAGCTTTTAGGTCATGTCTTCAGCTGCCTCACAGCTCCAAAAGTAGAAGCTTAGAAATGAAATGAAGAAACAATTCCTCTTTTTTTTTACCCTAATCACAAGAGTTTACAATAAAACACATGATCTTTTCATTTATGGTTCATCTTTTCTGACTTCTCCTTGTAACCACAAAAGAAGTTTTCCATGTGTTGGTTGAGGATTTTCTGAAGCCAAGTCTTTACTCAGTACCTCTTGCTCTTCTGTCTTTGATTTTTAAATTATTATTCAAAACACAGGCTCCAGAATCCTCCTCTTGGTTGCTCTCATTGCTGCATTTCAAGAGTTGTTACACTGTAATCACAGTATTATACAGGGAAGATGTAAGACATCTAAGTTTTTCATTAACTTGAAGATAAACTTATTGCTTCTGTATTGCATATGCAGTGAAGATGATATGCCTTGTGCCCTTTGTGTTAAACTTACTGCTTGCTTTGCTTTATGGAAATGTTATTTCTGCTTTCTTACTATCTGGTGTTTATCTCTAAGTTAATTAAAAACTTTGATGAAATGATAGACAAAGAAGAGTTCATTGGGTTTATTCAGAAGAGGTCTACACCCTGCAAGCTATGCCATTCATACTTCTGCTTTCTACCAGTAGGCCAGAAGATGTTTCCACTGATATCTTAGATTACATTTCTGTAGACTGTTGGCTATTCACAGAAATAATGTGTCAAGGAGCAAAAAAAAACAGATGTAGGAAAGAATAACCCAGTGTACGCTGCAACAGGCAACGGAACAGCATTTTCTAACAAGAGATCATCTGCAAGAGATAAGATAGAGGACTATGGAATTACAGAGTTTGAAATTAGTGATAAGGATCAATTGCTAACTCCTGTTTTCTAACAAAAGAGTCAGAAGGCATCAAACCTGGCATAGCATGGCAGTGTAATAGGTCTCAAGTACGCTAGATCTTTTCTTTCACAATCCCAGCCATATGCCTATGGCCATGGTTGAGGTTGAAGAGTGGATAGTCAATTAAACAGACCTTGGGTTTGTAAAAGAAAGGCTGTTATTAAGTGTTTATGTGCTTACATTACCTAATCCAGCTATGTTCACTGTAAGATGAAAGTTTACAAAGAAAAGATGCTTAATTCGATGTCTACACATCTTATTTGGCTACTATTCAGAGCACATCCACTATCTGTATATTTTTGTATAAACACAGACATTGATACATACAAAAATATTAAGCAGATTTCAACTTTGCTTACTTAAATCTCCCTGTTCTTCACAATGAGTTGGAGAACAGTAAACATATATTCATTCCTATTTCATCCTATGCTTTATTCCTTTAACTGTCTCCACTACCAGGCAGAAAAACAATAACAAAGTTCCGTTAAGAATTAAAACCCCACAATCTCATGTTTATGTTATAGTATTATTGTCTATCATTAATACAAATGTTTGTACATATCTGACTTCATCTGAATAATTCTCCACCACATTTTCATCTTTCCTTTAATTTTACCACAAGAACACTCTTTTTTACAAGGCCAAATTTAAATTTGCAAAAATGTCTCAATAATGTCAGAGTGAGAATCCTACAGAACCTTCTGGAATTCTCCTCCACCCAAATCCAAAATTCAAAATGCTCAGTAGTACTCCAAAAACAATCCTTATTTTATTGCTTATTTCAGTGATGCTAGACTTCATTATACTAAAAAGTAACTTAAATCATCTCAAAATAATCATTTTTTAAATGTCATTGTATGTAAGGAGTAGGAGAGCTTATTAAAATCTAATTCTAGTATCTGTCACTTCTACAAACTGTAGTTCCTAGTTCTAACAGTTCTCCCAACAATAATAACGTAAAATAAACAAACAAACAAGAACCACTCACGTGCACAGAAAAAATACCCCAAAGTTCAAGGACACACATGGAAAATCACAGATCACATGCAAAAAAAGTTGCAAAGGGAAAGTTGCAAAGAGTAGCAGAATAATAACTGCAAAAGTTTAAAAGTATGGAAAAGAACAGTAGCAAGCATGTGACACAGGAAAATACAGAGTACACAGTGCTAAATAAAGGGCTATTTTGTATATGTTCTATGTTTTTATCACTCTCCAATTAACAAAGTGCTTCCTGCTTATGAAAAGCAAGTTCATGGTAGTTGAGGGAAAGGGGTTTGCCCATACCACCATGACTCATTCTCCAATAGCACACTACAGGTTCAGGAGTTTCCAGTGGTGTGACCCACATATGATGCAGGGGGTTCAGGACAGTATATAAACAAGGCAGATACTGAGCACAGCCACTGACCACCCTTGAGGCTGCAGGAGCAAACCCCTCACCAAAATCCCTCACCAAATCCAGGTGACACACAGAAGAAACACTCTTGAAAGATGATGGGCAAGGCTGTGGCTGCTGTCATGGCTCTTCTCCTGATCTCAATGGCTGGAGCAAAAGGTAAAAAAATCCTTCCTAAAACCCTTATAACTAATTGCCAATGTGAGTGCTGATGGGGGAAGATATTATATTGTCTTAAAGTGCAGCAAATAACTCTGTGTGGGGCTAGATTTTACTCCCTGGTGGAAAGAGTAAATCCGCGTACATCCATCTGATGTAGCCAGGTATAAAGATTAGCGAAATAAAAGCAGAGTGATAAAACTGCTGGTGCTCAGTCATTATCATTTTGTGTTTCCTAATAGCACTGGCTGCTATACAAACAGTTTTTGTATAGTGACAGCGACTGGGCACCCAAGAAAATGGGTGAAGGCAAATTTTTCAAGTTGTCTGGCTCATAAAAAGAAAAATTATTTCTAATACTCTGAGAAAAAACAACATGTATTTCCTGGGCAAACAGTGTAACAGTCCATACACTACCTGTGTCTTTTTTCTCCTTGTTTTATAGGTATGGCTCAGGCGCGTTCAGCGATTGAACTCCGATGCCAGTGCATAGAGACTCATTCCAAGTTCATCCATCCAAAGTTCATTCAAAATGTGAACCTCACCCCTAGTGGACCTCACTGCAAGGACGTGGAAGTCATGTAAGTGCTGTTGCAAAATAATCCCTGCTACTCAACAAAAGGGAAACAGATTTTACATTAGGGATGATGTAAGCATTCTCTAAAAGATGCAACAAGACAGCATGCCAGGTTAATCAGAATGCAGTGCGTGATGCTCCTACAAATGACATAATACATGTCATATGTTGCATAATTTCTGTAAATCTGTACTTAAATACTACACGGAATTTTTCAGCATAAACCTGCACTCATCAAAAAAGCAAGTAAATCTAAAACTCTGAATTCCTCTGACATAAAGAAAGAGAATTAAAGCCACTGAGCTGCATTGAGCAGTTTATCAAGACATGCATTTTATGATCCCACTTCTACTGAAGTCAATGGAAAAATGACTATTAGCATAGAAGTCACAGAAATCTTACTGTGGCAACATTTTTAGGGACTAGCCAGTAGAGTTTCTGAATCAAGACGGAAACATTCAGCTCCTCAATTAAATACCATCACAAATGCAAACCAAGCTATCTGAAAAAGAAGCGATTTTGAAAACAGTGAGTCCTGTAGATAATCTAATCCATCCACAAAGATATAGGAATGTATGAAAAAAAAAAGAAAGTATGTATTAGGCTACAGCCTCAACTGATAGCAGCTTAAATTAAGGGAGACCATCTCAGTGTACATCTAGAGAACCTTGATGTTGCAAGAAAGAAAAGGAAATTGCCTAAGGAAGAGAGCTTCACTAAATAGACCTTTTGCCTTCCTTCTTCTTCTCTGATGTAGAGCTACTCTGAAAGATGGCAGAGAAGTGTGCCTGGATCCCACTGCTTCCTGGGTGAAGCTGATCATCAAGGCAATTCTGGACAAGTGAGTATTTTCTTCTCTGTGGGCACAAATTATTAAAGAGCAGTATTTTGAAGAAGCTAGCAAACATCCTATGCACAAGTTGTTCAAAATACTGTCTCATAAGGAAGTTGCTATCAGGAAGTTTACTGACTGGAGCAAATACTGTGTTTGCTTTGTACTTTAATACTTTAATACTTTAATACTTTAATACTTTAATACTTTAATACTTTTCGTCAGGTTCAGTCCCTTAGTGCACCAAACATCCTATGTGCATGCTAGCTACAACTCTCATAAGGCACAAGTATATTGAAAACTTAAGCGCAAGTGCCCAGTCCTTTGGAAATTCAGGCGTTAAGTGACTGTTTTTTTCTTGCTTGCAGTGGTTAAAAGCAACGATAACTTTTTCAAAAAGAATAGCATTTAGGTGAGTGGGTGAAAATCAGGTCCAAGGAGTGTTAAGCAAAGGATCAAACTACTGAGGTTTGCTGAGTTATTAAATACTCGTGAAGAGGTGACTGCAAACTAATGTCTCTTTTTATTTTTATGCACTGGCTTTCAAAGGACTTGGACAAAGCACAGATCCTTTGAGGCCGATTTCATGCAATTCCAGCACGTGATACTTGTTCCATTAGTTTTCATCTTTTTTATTTTTTTTATAGGGCAGACACCAAGAATAAGACTGCATCGTAAAGCAAAGAACAAAAATGTCCTACCTCCTCCAGGAAGACAAAAGTGGGAGACACCGCCATTCAGCTTCTGGCAGGTCATTTCCTCCTGCCTCCTACATTCGTACTTTCATCATCGTCTAGAGGATGTATCCTCCCTCTTTTTGTAGTTACAACAGTAACTTGACAACAGTAGCTTAAGTCTTTTAAAGAAGTGTCATACGGGAGAAAAACCACTGAAATTAGAAAAAGTAGGCAAAAAAATAAAACAAAAAAGATCAGGCTTGTGAAAGGAGATGGAGATGATTCTAGCCACCACATAATCAATGTGGTGCACTCTATGCAGGTCTTTCTTTAAATAACGTCTTTGCCAATAGTTTAGAAACTGCCCAACAATTCCTTTTCTCCAGGAACATGCTGACAGGTAGCATCAACTGTACCTAGGTTACTGCTTCTCATGTGGGCTGCAAACCAGAAAAAGGGGGCTTTCAGAGTCAGTAACCCAAAAGTCTGAGGCATCAGTTTTGGAGCCATCATTTTCAAGGTTTTATTTACTCTGAATTACTGCTGTGAAGCTATAAACATATGTTTTCATGCCATCTTTTGGTTACAAAAAGGGCACTTTATTTATTTGAATTCTATTAAATATTTATTGCATCTCTAATATTAATTAGTTTATACTTTGTCATAAGAAAGTAGATGATCTTCATGCTTCCATTATTTATTTATTTATGGAAAAATTGAAGTTTTTATGCTTTTGTTATTTATTTATTTATGGAAAACATTGAAGTGTTCGTGCTTACATTATTTATTTATTTGTGAAAAACGTCTCAGTTTAGGTACCTAATAAATGCTTATTTAAATGTTTTTATTTCAGTATTGTGTGTTATTAATTTTCTTATTGACCTAAGAGGGTACGTTTATTTTCCCTCAGTATCACATAAAGGCGTCTCACAAGGCCAAGTGGAGGCTGAGTTGTGGGGACTGATAAGTACCTCAGGGAATTCTTGCCTGCAGTACGTGCAGATGATTTTCAGTAGGAAAAAAATACAAAAGTGGTCAACTTCCTTCTTCTTTTCTTGCTAGACTTAATTTTTTCAGAGAACTGGGTGAGAAAACCCATGGGAAGAAAGAAACGAACAAACAATGGTGAGTCACAGAAATCCCAGTCTCAGCAGCAGAGTAAAACAACATGTCAGCCGTGGATCTGGCACAGAACCAGGTTTCTCATTAACTTACCGTAATCAGGCATATCTGATAAACTGCAATGGAGTCAGTGAGCACCCTCTGAAATTTCAGGGAAAAGGGAGTATTATACTGGGAGAAATCTTAAGGAATGAGCTCCGATTGTAAGGCTACATGACACTGACACAGTGATTTACACTGAAACCCTGTGAGACAGTGATTTACAATGAAAAAGCTAGAATACCAGAAGCAAACACTAGAGAAAATGGGAAAGTTGAGCAACTGTTTAGATATCTATTCTTCTTTGACCTTATCCTAAAAGGAGCCACTCCATATTCTGCACAAACAATGTATGTTTGCTCATGGAGCAAGAAGATAAAAAGGGAGTTTCTATTACAGTTTGAGCAAGTTCTTGCACAATATGTAACTGTCCCCACCATACTTTGCCTCCATTCAGATCTCTGCCCCTGTCCCAGTGCATTACAGACTACTAGACTTCATCTTCAAGACATAAAGAGGACAGAACTCCACATGGGGCAAGGCTTTGTGCAAATTTGTCTTACAACAGTAAGACTTCTGGTTTCTGGATGATTTTTACAAGCTGGCCTCCCTCAATTACTTAGTGTAAGGCAAGCAAGAAGAGGTGAGGAAGAAAGACTTCAAATACACAGCCATGAAAGCATGTGTGTATCTTAAGGGTTTAGGACCAGTTTTACTGGAAACATTGGTAAAGCAGTACGTGCGCAGCCTTTGTTGCGAGTAAAATTCCAGTCAAGTTACTGTCAGCTGAATCACGGTCAAGGAATCTCTTAACACTTCTATCCAAAATTTCAGCAGTAGCTTACTTAGGACCTGAAGCAGAGCATTTGCACAGACTGAACCATATCCTTTCTTTATCCGTAGGTGAAAAGCGATTCAGAAACTGGCTAGAAATGATATTACTGAAATGTATTTCTGTTCAGCATGCAATTACAAAAGGCCTTTCTTAGGAATAAGTAACAATTCTCACTGGAAACATGGTTCCAGTTCTCGGATCCCCACCACAAACCAAAAAAAGCACCACAGCTCTTCTGACTTGATGATTACCTTTGTCAAACCTGGGCTGTACTTCTGTGTTGTTTCTTCTTTGCCCATATTAATTCCGAAGCCATGACAGGACTAATTCTCCTAGCAAAATATTTTTATGTTGAGACACTTAAAAATTCAGTCAATTTTCTTTGACTATCTCCTTTTGCCTATCAGTATAAAAAAAAGCAAACCATGAAACATGCACAGTTCATTTCAAATCAGAATGTTGTTAGAGACACAGAACAGTATCTGTACTGGATGATAAAATCTAGTGCATGCACCATGCTGCTGTTCAGCCAACTTCCATCCTACTAAATTTCATTTGCATTTTTTCTCTTTTTATTGCTGCAGCCTGAGTACACTGAAAGTCTTTACTTGGCTTCTGCTAAATATCTGAATGCTAAGGTCTTCTTCAAATGCAGATGACACGCAGCAATCTTGTTAGCATGCTATCGTGGTAAGAATTGGAGAAAAGACTAAATTAAAATGGACTTACAGTTCAGTACTGTCCCAGTGTTTGTAGATCAAGTTAAATCGTTAAGCTGGGAGTTGTCAGTGTCCAGAGGGCGCCTGTAAGCCCTAATGGACTCACCTAGGTCCTCCACCCATTCACCTGCCCACAGGCCTAGGAATCTCATTTAAGCTTGGCATGGGACCTTCATTCTCTCTCTATGTTCTAGAAGTGTTGCTCTCCAGCTTAGCCACTGTCATGCCTGTTCCTGATTGCGGACCCTGCTCATCCAGCCAGTGACTCATTTCTGCTTGGACTTGGACCTGCATCATCACTGAGGCACCTGCTGGGGTGCTTGCTTCCTGGTTTAACACCAGCTGGTGACAACTTGCCCTGCTGGCTGTGGAGTCCCTTTTGTCTCCTTATCTTTCAAGGAGAAGGTGTCCAGCACTGCTCCCTGGCATTAGTTATCATTCAAAATACAATTTTCTTCCCTAGGTCTATTGCAGGTTTTTAAAATGTCAAATCATTAGCAACATTTCCATGTGACTGAAGGCCTTAGAAATGATGTTAATAAGTTCAAGAACAGAACCTTCCTTCACATCCCATGGAAATAGCAACTTGTCCATCAAAGAAGTTTGACTTCTACAGTATCCTAAAAGAAGATTGTGTAAAAAGACAATGTTATTTTGTTTCATCATGGATGCAAGTGTTGCAGATGAACCATAGCATTCATTGTGTATAGCAACATTCCCCTCAAAAGTTATGAAACAAAGTTATTACGAAGACAGAGTTATAAATGAAAATGCTATGGGGAAGCAGGTTAAAGGCCTAAAGTAAGATCTGAAGGGCAGCTAACCATGACAGTTTCACCCATGACTCTGAAAAGTTCTCTTCCAACAGCAGAGGTGTGATCTCTTCTGCCCTGACACTGACTGTGCAGTGTTCTTTCCACAAAGCTCTGGGCAGACAGTGCATATCAGTCTTCAGTATGACTGCATTCTGGGAAGCTGTGGGGATAACTGTTTAACATTTGGAGGTCATAGAATTTTCTATCAAAAAATGCCTTTTCTCTGGCTGATCACAATTTCTGTAAATGAATACTATATAAAGGGATAGAAAATAACCACAGAACATAAAGAAAATGTTATGTTCCAAGATAAAGTAATTTCTCAAGGAGCTGTTTTTACAAGCTTGTGTTATAAATAGAGCAGGTGATGTGACGTGTCTCCACCGCAGGTAAAGCAACTCATGTTGACATACTGAACCAGGTTCTTGTTAACTCCTGAACTAGCTGCTGATCTCAGCTAACATATCCCAAGCAGTCCTGCTCCCTGACAAAAAGGTAGACACTATCTGTCCAAGACAGATGATAACTTCCCCTCCACGCAGCATCAAGGCTCTCATTTAGCAGAGCCCTTTTCCAAACCGATTCCTTTCTTAATTCTTAATTTTATAAAACTACTGAAATTACTTCATATGGATGCCGTATTTTTTCAGATCACATTTGGGTTCAGTTTCGTTTCTTGAGATCACCCTTCTCTCCTCACAAAAATAAGGATATCTCAATATCCCAGTGAGCAAAAAAATACATACTTTGTGTTCAAGAGATATTTCACTCCAGACATTTATTCACCTTCTGGTTTAAATACCTATGATTATTTTGCAGAATATTACAGAGAAAAACAAATTTGCTCTGTGCTTATCTGAATCAAATTTTACTATTACATCGTTAAATACACCCTCCTATCATAGATAGAACAAATGAAACATTCAGAATAGCTGAAGTGACTTAACTGACAATCCACCAGACATTTTAAGCTTCTCTTTTTTTGCTCAACGAGTAGAAAAACTTTTGGTACAGAACTAAGTATCTAAATCCCGTCAGCTAAACTGAAAATGATAGCTAAGATCCTTTCACAGAACAGCAGAAACTAGTTGCCTGCATAAGACACTATCAAAATATAGAACACCATAACAACTATCAAAATATAGTCCACAACATTGTCAAAGTAACTGTTGGGCACAAGTTTTTGTGCAAGGCATTTAAACTAGGTGGAGAAAGCTTGACAGAATAGACAATTCATAGCAGTGAACAGCACTTCAGAACCAAACTAAAACAGAAAAAGAAACCCAACCCACATAAATATAATGCTAGGAGTTTTCTTTAAAAAGCAAGACATCCCCAGGTGAATGTGATAGAAGTAAATCCATATCCATTTCTCCAAGAAAGATCTGTCCTTGAGAAAGAGGCAGAGATCCTTATGACAGCTGTTTCTGACAGTTATAATAACGGGTAGTACAAAGACCAAAGCCAGCTTCATTTTCTATGCGTGCCAAGAAAATAAATTTTTGGAAGTGTATCTTTAAAACTGATCTTTTAACAAAAGATTTAAATGTCTGAGAGATGCCATTCACTGAAATGGGCAATACTAGTCAAAAAGTAACTAAAGAAGATGAAGCATGTTTAGAAGTGGCTTCAGCTGAATGATGTTTGACAGGGTACACTCGCAGCACAGCTGCAAACAGTGGATAGGTGTGGATTCTTTACTACTGCCAGAAAACTGGCAACTAAACTGTGTTCTGTGAGGTGCTTCATTATGTCTCATCAGAAGTTCTAAGCCAGCCACTGTCAGCCTCAGGGTAGCCTAATGACAACCAACTAGTGGTTTTCAGAAAGAAGCCGATTAAGTTAGTGATGCTAAACTACTAAACTGCCTGTTATTTTTAAAGTGGTATGCATTATGCTCTAGTTTCCGATTAGAGATAAGAAGACTCTGACAGATACAGCAAGATGAAGGATGAAGAGCTGCAAGGCTGAAGCATGACGAAGCACAACATGTGCACCTCTGTGCATGCTGTGAGAGGCTCAGACTGAAACAAAATGCACTATCTGAAAGTATTCATGCTGACATCTGCAAACCTTTTTGGCTGTAGTTTAGGCAG